CTCATCCGCCTCATTCAGCGTTTGGAGGCCTGCCACGGGTTCAGCACCACCGCGCTGTACATCCGCGCCTACCACAACGACATCGCGGACTGGCTGTCGCGAGAGGAGGCCAAGAAGGTCCACTCCGAGCTCCTGCGCAAGGGGTGGACCCGCATCGAGCCGCCCGAGGCGTGGGGGAAGATGCTGGCGGAGGCGAAGGAGCACCTCTTGCGGCTGCCTGGGGAAGAAGGGCCCATCGCAGAGTCGGCACTCCGTCATCGGGCGCTGAGGACCCCCACAGCGGTGCCACGCAGCCTGGCCCTCAAGGGACGTCGGGGACTGGAGCTCGGGAACCCGCTGGGCACCTACGGGCGCGCCTGGGAACGGCTAGGTGGGGAGTTGACGACGAGCAACTCAACGGAGGTGGACTGGATCATGTGCACCTTGTCCCTGGACCCGAAGGGTTTCGTGGTCGAGAAGCTGGTGTCCGCGGTCACTCGGGCGAGGCCGCATATCGTCGTGGTCGACGCCCCGGGCAAGCTCGACCTGACCCGCGTCGTCAAAGCGCTGCGGAAGATGGGGTATCGCACGTGCGACCTGGAGGTCGTCTGCACCCACTACGGCGACATGACGGCTCGGGCCCGAAGCCTGCTCGTGGCAGGCCGAGGACCAGCAGGCGCCAGCCTGGCGGGCACGCGCATGCCGCCGGCACGCCGCTGTCCACACGGAGTGAAGCACGCGCTGAGGGACAAACTCATCGAGGGCGACCACCACTGGCTCGACGACGAGGGGAACGTAACGTGGGAACCAGCAGCCCGGAGCGGCTCCGACGCCATGCTACCCAAGGGCATCGGTCACATCATGCTCGCCGACACGAAGCACCAGGTCTGCTCGATCGACGGTCCGATCGGCACGGTTCGCTGGCCCACAGAGGGCCCGGGCGGACCGGGAGGGACGTTGGTCCACGTCCCGGGGGGCTGTCCTGGGCGCCGTCGCGGACGCGACGTTGCAGACCACCCGGCGGGCCGGCGGCCGCCGCGACCCCGCGGAGTCCGCCGCCTGGGGGACGACCCGGAGGTGGCTCAGGGCTTCAGCTCAGGACGAGCTCCGCGTGAAGGCCGAGGCCACGGAGGACGACCGACATGCGGGAGTGCTGAGCGACGACGCGCACAAGGCAAGGCGCAAGAGCCAAAGCGTCCGCTTCAGGGCGATCGAGGAGGACCTCGTGCGGGGGCCCGAGCCCCCATCCGACGCCAAGGAGGTGGACCTGAACGTAGTCGTCGACAAGCCCAAGAAGCGGCGGAAGCGGAGCCCCAACCGGGGCGAGAAGGTGGAGACCCAGAGGCTAGTCAAGCCGATCGCGCTGGGCCAAGCCCGGGCTGCCATCGCCTTGCCGGACCACCCGACCCTGGGGGGGGGCTGCGGCAGGTGGATCGAGGAGCAGAAGCGCGAGGCGCTGATGCTGCGGCTGTCCGAGGGGGCCCGCGCCGGCTACGAGACTGGCTGGCGACAGTGGCAGGGCTTCAGGGCAGCTCAGGGCGAGTCGCCCTGGCTCGAGGGGCGCGACCGTGAGGAACGCTACGCCAATGAGGAAGCGCTGCTGGGATTCGTCATCGCGTTGGCCAAAGTGCTGAAGAGCACGGAAGGTACGATCAAACAGAAGTTGTTTATTGTGCGTTTTGCCCACCTCGTGGTCGGCTATCCGGACCCTCTACTCCACCGCGGCCGCCTCTGGTCCACGATCGCCGGCTTCAAGAGGGGCCAAGGGCCGATCGGGCGGAAGCGGCCCGTGACACCGCGCATGCTCTTGTGGCTCCACGGCATCTTGAAGGACCAGACCGACCTTCCCGCGACGGACACCGCGGTCCTGTGGGCCGCCGTGGTCGTGGCCTTCTTCTTCATGTTGAGGGCGTCTGAGTACTTGATCCAGCCTGGGAAAACATGGGGCCAGGAGCGCGTCGTGCGCGGCGTGGACATCACGGGCCGTGACAGCGACAACCAGCCCTGCGCCTTCAGAGACGCAGTGGAAGTGGTGCTGCATATGACCTCTTCGAAGACGGATCAATATTATGTGGGGTGTGTGAGGAACCAGTGCGAGACAGGCACGCCGCTGTGCCCGGTGGCCGCCATCCGCCAGCTGGAGCAGCACTACCCGCAGAGGCTGCGAGGCAGCGAGGAGGAGCTCCCACTCTTCCGCTGGGCGAGCGGTGCACCCATCCGCCGCGAAAATGCGCAGCGCTACTTGACAGTGGCAGGGCTGGCCGCCGGGCTGAGGAAGGAGGAGATCGGCTCACGCAGCCTCCGTATAAGGGGGCGCAACGGCGATGTGCCATGCCGCGGACGACCTGCAGCGCGTCAAGCGCTTCGGGCGCTGGGCCTCCGACAGCTTCCATGGGCACCTGTGGGAGAGCCACGAACCCGCGCGCGGCATCTCGACCAACATGGCGACGGGCACGTCCGAGCTCACGGCGCCGCCGGCCCGCGCGGCCGATAGCGAGCGCCACGCGGGCAAGGGTCCGACCCCGCGATGGCCCGGAGCAGCACTGGCCGCGACGACGCTCGCCTCCACAGTCGGCGGAGCGGACGGCCACGCGATCAAGGTCGACCCGGCGGAGAGCCAGAACCTACTGATCTTCGTGCTCCCGGTCAGCTTGAAGACGTGGGCAGTGGCGGCGGGGGTGCTGCTAACAGCGGTGCTGCTGGGAGCTGTTTGGCAGCACAGGCGGCAGCGAAGGAATGGGCGGGCAGCCAGCGGGCGCAGCAACAACCGCAGGGCCCGCAACCCCCGAGCGAGCCTGCCGTGCGCGGCGCTGATGGCAACGGCGCTCGCAACAACAGCGGGGGAGCCACAGAGCAAGGACATGGCGGCGGTCAGCGACGGTGCCCAGGGGGTTATACTTCGCTGGGAGCCGCAGATGAACACGGTGGCGATCGTCTTCCCGATGGAGACGGCGCTGAAGGTGATGGCCATGATCGCAGTGCTGTTCGCAGCGGGCACCGGGGTGCTTTGCTACTGCTGCTGCGGGATGGCCAAGGAGAGCGGGAAGGTACCGGAGCATGGAGCGCAGCGGACCGTGGCGCAGCCGACGCCCAAGGCGCCCAAGCTCCCCATGCAGCCGCAGAAGACGTACTGCGACGCAGGAGTGATGGGCCCGGTGCAATACAACGGCATGAGGTACGTGCACGAGACCCAGGGCTTCCGCCGGGCCAATGAGGCGACGCGGGAAGTGGCCCCGCCAGGGCACCGCGGGTCGCCAGAATGGCTCCGGGGAGGAGAGCAGAGGGCGCATCGTGACTGAGATGCGAGGCTGCCGCCGGCCAATGGCCGAGCGGGCAGCGGAGGTCCGCCGCCGGCACCCGCCGTGCGAGCGGCCGCGCGACGCCGGCTGATTTCAGCTTGGCGCTCGCGATCAGCTTTGCGTTTGCGAGCAGCTGGGCGCGGTGCGGCGGCAGCTGGCGCCTGAGGGCAAGAGCGCTGCGCCGGCCTGGCAACCGGCAGTGCCGTCATGGGGGGCGGCGGTGGCGGCTACGAAGGGGCGCCGGCGGCTAGCCCGGCCAGGGCTGCCGCACAGGGCGCACGAAGAACCACCGCAGGCGCCGGCGGCGCGCCGCCCTGCGCCTGCGGGCCCACCTTGCTGGGCAGACGCGGCAGCGTGCCGCAGATGCCAGGACTGTTGGGTTCTACGCCGAAAAGATCGGCGACTACGCGAACCACTACAGCCAGTTCGGCGTGGTGGCGCGCTCACAAAAGGAGGTTGGCGGCGTGTCCCGCTACGCGTGGCCCAAGACGGCGCCGGCGCGCCAAGCGCCGGGCGCCGGAGCAAGGAAGCAACACGGCTCCTTGGCAAAAAGGTCGTCATCATCGTCTGGGGCCACGTCCGTCCCTTGTGCCTCCCCTCTTGAGCCCACGCCTACTAGGCTCCAGATGTTTTTAGTTCACCAGTGCTGCTTGAGGGGGATATCTAGGATGTTTGGTAAAACTGATGGATCTCCCCGCTTCCAGAACTGGCGCGGGCTTCCACTTGCGGTCCCCTTGCTCCTGCCCTTGCCTCTTTGCTTGCTTTCTCTCGCTCCTTCTCTTCTCACCGTCGCTTGGCGGCTCAAGCCTTTTTCGAAGGCCAAGCTGGCCCACCCTGGGAGCCCTTCGGGGGCTCCCTCACCCGCCCTGTTCTGGACTTTTACAGTGCTGCCGATGCGCTAGGGTGCCTCGGCGGCGGCGTGGCCTGCTACGCGTGGCCTAAGACGGCGCCGGCGCGCCAAGCGCCGGGCGCCGGAGCAAGGAAGCAGCACGGCTCCTTGGCAAAAAGGTCGTCATCATCGTCTGGGGCCACGTCCGTCCCTTGTGCCTCCCCTCTTGAGCCCACGCCTACTAGGCTCCAGATGTTTTTAGTTCACCAGTGCTGCTTGAGGGGATATCTAGGATGTTTGGTAAAACTGATGGATCTCCCCGCTTCCAGAACTGGCGCGGGCTTCCACTTGCGGTCCCCTTGCTCCTGCCCTTGCCTCTTTGCTTGCTTTCTCTCGCTCCTTCTCTTCTCACCGCCGCTTGGCGGCTCAAGCCTTTTTCGAAGGCCAAGCTGGCCCACCCTGGGAGCCCTTCGGGGGCTCCCTCACCCGCCCTGTTCTGGACTTTTACAGTGCTGCCGATGCGCCGATGCTTGAGGGGATATCCGCTAATTGCTCTCGCCATCCTTAGCCCCTCAGTTCGAGAAAGGGAGGGAAGCCCCAAGCGGCAGCGGAGCCGTGCTCTTAAGAGCGGCGGTTCGATGCCTGCTTAAAGGGGGGCGGACAAGTGCTGCGCCTAGTCAAAGCAATGGAGTCACAAGAAACGTGAGCCCATTCGTTGAAAGCCCATGGCCCCAAGACGGTATCTTAGACTAGCGTTCCAGAGTGGAAAGCCCCAAACACCAAGAACATGAGGGTACCCCTCCAAGTATAAGGCTCTGGTTACCTTCGCGCAAACTGTGTGACCAACAACTTCTGCAATACAACACTGGGCCTGGCTCTATAACCCCTGCCGCCCCCAGTAGGATTAAAAAGTCCTGTGCATTCACATCCCGCCACTAGACCCTACAAAGGAGTGCTAGCTATCCAGCTGCCCCAGCATGGCCAAGCATACGCACTCTTTGCAGTGGCGCACTGGGTCCGTCAAGCCCCACTCCGGAACGGGCCTGGCCTCACTCCAGGGCGCGCAGTTGCCGCAGACGCACTTGCCGCAGCGGCGGCAGTGGTGTCTCCGGAAGAGCACGGTGAAGGCAGCCCTGAGGGGACGGCAGGGGCAGATGGGGGGAGCGAGGTATGGAGGCGCTGGGGACGCGCGTGACCAGGGTCCGGCAGACGCGGGCACAGGACACAGCGGCCCAGGGCAGGCCACGTGGAAGGGTGTGGCAGGCGCAGGGCAGGGCCAGCCGCAGGGCCAGGGCGTGGCCAGAGAATGGGCCGAGCAAGCCAGGGGAAGATGCATGACAGGGGCAAAGGTGAGGAGAGTCAGGCTCTGAGAGACTGGAAGCACACACAGGCATGGCAGAGCGAGCTCTTCCACTGGTGGAGAAGTGCAGCCGCACAGCTCAGACGCGGATTCCAGGCGAAAGGCCAGAACAGGTCAGGCAAGAATGGGCGACACCTCGCACGACACCGTCGGCTTCGAAAGCCCAGGCGGGATCTGGCGTGAGCCGCTCCGAAGGCGCTCCTGCCTGCTCTGTTCCGCGGAGGCTGCCTAAGGAAGCCCGTTCCCCTCTGACCCCGGCCTTCCAGAGAGGAACCTAATCGGAGAAGAACGCGGTGCGCCGATCTTTTCCATTGGGCTCGTAGCTTGGGAAAAAGGGCTGACAAGGCGGCAAACGACTGGGATGATGGCGTGGATGGCGGGGAGGGCAGTGAGGGGAGCAGGAGGACAACGATCAGGAGGACAAGCACAATGACGAGGAGGAAGAGATGGAGGAGGACGAGCACGAGGAGGAATGAAGCAGATTGTTTCATCATCGTACATAGACCTCAGGGAAAACAACACTATGCAATGTTGAGGGGTGCCTCGTGAATGTTTGAGCCTACCTTAGGGACTATTGGGGTCACCCTGGGCTATATTGGAACCTTTTTTGTTGTTGCCCTTACGGTTCGCTTCCCCCATCTCGCGTTGCCAATCTCGCTTCGCTGGGGTCGCGCCGGGCGGACAGACCCGGCAAATCTATAGACTCATTGTCGGCGTTGGCAGAACCAAGGCGGCAAGATGTTCACAAGGATGCCAGAGTCCAAGAACAAACCACAACATGTGATCAGACTGCGACAACATAAAACAACAACCAGCAAAACAATCAAACAAGGACCCATATTCGAACAGCAACTCTTCCGCGGCTCGGTTGGCGCGCCTGCACAGCATGCAGTCGTCGCAATCCGCGGCCCACGGCGGCGGCTGCGGCCCACTGCGCCCGGCGGCGGCGGGCGCGGGCGGCGCCCTCGTGGGGGTCGGCGTGAGCTGGTGCCGCTGCTGCTGGCACCGCGCGCCGCCTTGGGGCGCTGGCTGGGGCGCCGCCGCGGCCCTTCCCCGCCTCGTGCTCCTCACTGCCTCCAACCCCCTCCTTTCATCATGTACCACCCCCCTGCTGCCACTCCCCATCCCACTTCCCCTGCCCCTCCCTCCCTCCCTCTCTCCCTCTCCTGCTCCTCTTCGTGCTCTTGCTCCTCCCCCCGCTCTTTCCCCTCCTCCCACTCCAGCTACTGCTGCTCCTGTTCCTGTTCCTGCTTCTGTTCCTCCTCCTCCTCCTCCTGCTCCTCCTCCCCCTCCTCCTCCTCCTCTCCTCCTCCTCCTCCTCTCCTCTCCTCCTCCTCCTCCTCCTCCTCCTCCTCCTCCTCCTCCTCCTCCTCCTCCTCCTCTTCCTCCTCCTCCTCCTCCTCTCTCCTCCTCCTCCTCCTCCTCCTCCTCCTCCTCCTCCTCCTCCTCCTCCTCCTCCTCCTCCTCCTCCTCCTCCTCCTCCTCCTCCTCCCCCTCCTCCCCTCCTCCTCCTGCCCCTCCTCACCCCTCCTCCTCCTCCTCTTCCTCCGCCTGCTCCTCTTCCTCCTCCCCCTCCCCCTCCTCCTTTCCCGAGGCTGCGGGAGGAAAACGGACAGAGGAAAGGAAAGTGTGCGAGGCAACAGAGATCGCCCCACTGCTATGCGCTACCCCTCGCCCGCTCCCTCTCGCCCTCCCCCCCCCTCCTCGATGTCCTCGTTATCCTTCACCTCATCCTTCCCCTCTGGCAAAGATCTTTCAATATTCAGCCCAGAACCTTGTGTTGATAGTTATGTTACATTCACGTTCCCTCTTCTCTCCTCCTCCCCTCCTCCTCCTCCTCCTCCTCCTCCTCCGCCTCCTCCTCCTCCTCCTCCTCCTCCTCCTCCTCCTCCTCCTCCTCCTCCTCCCATCTTCCCTCGATCCCTCTTTCCGCCCTTCCCCCCCTCCCCTCTACCCGCCCCCCTCTCCCGTCTCTCCTCTCTCCCTCCTCCCTCCATGCCCCCCCCCTTCCTTCCGGCCCTCCCTTCTGTCCTCCCTCCCTGATACCCCGCCCCACCCCACCCATCTCTCCTCCCCTGGGCCCCGACGTCGTAATTTTTGTCACGTGGACATCGAGGAATCTGGACCCTGGACCCTTTTCCCGGGACCGGATCTTTATCCCGAGCCGTTGGTTGACGGTCCCGGGGCCAGGCCAGGCGAGGGCTCCCAGAAGCCACAGGTGGCCCAAACCTCGTGTCGTGTTTTCTACAGATGGAATAGGTGAGTGGTCCATTCATCTGCTGACCGACCTGCAAGAAATGTCCTCGTGAGATGCGCTGAGGGTGCCCAGCCGCCTGCGCCGCAGCCCTTCGGGCCCAGGAGCTCCACCTGGCGGCCCACGACGGGGGGCCCGCGGAGCCAGGCGTGAAGAGCAAACGTTATCGGAGGAACCCCTCCTACCCCTCCTCCTCCTGCCTCCTCCTCCTCCTCCCCCTCCCCCTCCTCCTCCTCCTCCTCCTCCTCCTCCTCCTCCTCCTCCTCCTCCTCCTCCTCCTCCTCCTCCTCCTCCCCTTCCTCCCCCTCCTCCTCCTCCTCCTCCTCCTCCTCCTCCTCCGCCTGCCCCACCTCCTCCTCCGCCACCTCCTCCTCCTCCTCCTCCTTTTCCTCCTCCTCCTCCTCCCCTCCTCCTCCTCCTCCTCCTCCTCCTCCTCCTCCTCCTCCTCCCACTCCTCCTCCCCCTCTACTCCTCCTCCTGCCCCTCCTCCCTCCCTCCTCCTCCTCCTCCTCCTCCTCCTTTTCCTCCTCCTCCTCCTCCTCCTCCTCGTCCTCCTCCCTCCTCCTCCTCCTCCTGCTCCTCTCCTCCTCCCTCCTCCTCCTCCTCCTCCTCCTCCTCCTCCTCCTCCTCCTCTTCCTTTTCCTCCTCCTCCTCCTTAGCCATTTTGGCTCAAGGTGCTTTGTTCCACAGGGGAACACGTGGATACCGCTAGTTCGCGGCCAGTGCCAGGGCGCTTCTGCCCGACAGTGTTGTTCTAGTCTCCGTGTGCCTCCTGCTGCCCGCAGGGGGGTGCTCTCGCGTCTCGGTTGCGGCCATGGCACCGCCCAAGGCTGCCAGGGAGAGGCTCGCGCGGGCCAAACGATGGGTTTGCAGGTACTGCACGCATGCGAAGACTGGCGAACCGTGGCATAACCATCCAGATGCTGCTTCGTGTTTTCTGTGTGGTGGTGCCAAAGGTCGTGTGTACAAGTGCGACTTGCCGCCGCCCACCCCAAGTATGCGTGCGTCTCAGCCTGCTGGTGGGGTGGCTCGTGCGACGCTCGACGCCAAGGACAGAGAACTGGCTGCCCTCCGCAAGCAAGTTCAACAGTTGTCTCGGCCCAAGATGCTTGATCCTGACATGCAGTCGCCGCCGCAGCAGGATGGTGGCCCGAAGGAGCCGGACCTCCAAAAGAAGCAGAAGGTGCTCGAGGCTGCTGAGGCTGCCATGGCTTCTCTTGGGAACGTTGCGCTGGTCCAGGGAGTTGCTCCGAGCACTGTCCCTGGGTATGCTGATGCTGACAAGACTGTACGGGGTCTCCGCCAAGAGATACACGCGGCCAAGCCTCTCGGAGCTCAGGCGCATGGCATCGGCAACAAGATTCAGAAGGCTGACCAGCAGATTGCCAAGCTGCAGGCCACCATTGAGTCCGAGGAGAAGGCTGTGGCAGACAAGCAGGCCCTTCTCGTGGATCTCAAGCAGCAGTTGGAGTCCAATCAGAAAGCTAGGGTACAGCTGCAGCTCGAGCAAATGGAACTTCTACGGCAGCGAACGCCTGAGCAGGTCATCCAGGCCCCAGCAGGCAATGATGAGCCATTTTCGACACGTGTTCTCCCACCCTCGAGCAGCTCAAATCCTTTGTGCAGCAGCCGGGGGTAGGTGAGCAGCTGTCTGAGGCGTGTGTTCAGCACGTGCAGCCATGGCTGGAGCAGGTCAAGAAGCTGCGAGCGGAGCAGCAAAAACGGCAGCGTGAGCAGCAGCAGCGGCAGCAACAGCAGCCTCCTCCTGCAGATGGCCCTGCTGCTCCAACTGCACCTGAGGGTGCTCATGCCACCGCGCCTGTACCTGAAGATACGGATGTGGAGGATTTGCGCACCTTCATATCGGACAACGGTGGCACGCCTGCGGAGACGGAGGACGAGATTCGCGCGCAGGTCAAATGGCACGTGGAGACTGTCCAGGCGCTGCTCGCCAATAGGCCACGCACGACTGCATAGATACGGGGGGGTTGCTTTAGCAGTGGTTGGCATCATGGCGAATACTACTCATAGCCTCGACAACAGCGGCGACGGCTACGACGAGCTGTTCGCAGATCCAGGCATCGACCAGGACGATTTCTTCGGCCCTCCTATTGAGCCCTGGGGACCACCTACTGAACTCTTGCTACCTCAAGGCGGGGGGGGGGGCGGGGTTCAGCCCCGATAAGTCGCGCCCCTCCGCCCACATGGGCTACACTCACAGGGCCAGGCACATCGGTGACGGCCAGAATTGCTGCTCCAGATGGCCAGGGATGTTTCTCCCCTGGGCTGGAGACGTCGTCGGCATTGAGGTTGGCTTTTTCTACCTCGGCTGCGACGCGCGAGCCCCGACTGGCCCGCTCATCGGGGTTGGGGGCAGGGGCGAACTTGACGACATCTGTTTCTACGCGGAGGGCGGCTGCGCCTACTTCGAGTACGTTGGCCCCCGAAGGAGGTTGGAGAGCCGCCACTTCTCCTCCCCACCTTGAGTTGCACGCAGCTACATAACAACGATGGTCAGGGCGCGACAGGAGGACGCACGAGCCTCCTGATCGTAATCTTCCTGTCGACGAACGAGTTCCTGGCGTGGCCCGGGGATCGACTGCAAGCAGTTTCGCTTCGGCCGAGGCACCCGAAGGCGTTTATGACAGCTGAGCTGGGCTTTCTCACACGGGAGGGCCACATGCGACAGCGGTCAAGTCCAAAGGGGAGGCGGTGACTGCCAACGTCAGCTCTCACGGGTCTCTATTTGAGTATTTCCCAGGAGTTGATCTGGGGGTCAAGGTGCTCCTGGCACAGGAGCACCACCTCTTGCTGGACCGACTCCCGCAGGCGCAGCCTCAGGTCAAAGACCTCGGAAGGCATGGGATCTGGGCGGCTGCAACACCGAATGCCAACTCTGATGTCGGCACGTCTGCAGGCGCGGCTGTGCTTGTGCGCTCTGATATTATGTTTACGGCCCCCGACTTGCCTGAGCAGGAGGCGATTCCAGGTCGCTGTCTCTTTGCACCTGTTCATTGGGGCGTACCTGGGGGATTCACTGTGGGCGGCATTTATCGACACCAAAGATGGCATGGGTGCAGTCAACACGGCGTACCTCTGGCAGAGTGTGCAGGCGTTGGCTAAGCTCATCAGTGCGGGCATAGCCTGGATGATTGGAATAACCAACCCTCGGAGATGTTTGCCACGCGATGGGCGGTGGCAATTTCCGCGGCCCCCTTCTACCCGTTGGCGCGCACCTGCCGCCAGGTTCTCGCTGGAACTGCCCTGGTTTACTTTATCGTTTCATCAAATTTGGCAGCAAGAGTTGACTCGGAAATCCAGGTGGACGAACGGTCCACCCTTTACCCACGCTGCCCTGTGCATCTTTGCATTACGGCGCAGGACTACCCACTCTGGCTACTGGTACCCAGGCTTCCGAAGGAGCTGCCGCAGGAGGCGCCGATCGGCTGTGCTCGATTTCCTCTGAAGTGGGATCAGGGGTTATTCGGGGCTGCTGAGGATGCTGCAGGCCTTGCTGCTGGGATGGACAAGCTCATGAATGGCATTGAGACGGAGCTCACCAACCGATATGATCATGTCGGCCCCGCGGCTAAGCGCTACGCTGGCCGGGCGGGCGCCCCTGAGTTTGTCCGGGGGCAGGTCAAGTGGCAGCCCCCCCCCCCCCCCCCCTCAAGCACACGCACAGGAGACCAGTCACCCCGGCGTGGAAGACTGCACTCAGATGGATGATGCACATTCAGAAGGAGCGCGATCGGTTGAAGACATTGGCGTCGCAACTCCAGATGGCCAACGCGTTGCGCAGCATCGAGCCTGGGCAATGCTCGGTACCCTTGCAGGCCCTCAGTGAGGTCAGCGGATTTCTGCGCAACGCAAGGCGAAGCCAGGTTTTCTACAGCAGTTGCCGCCTGAGGTTCGGAGTTTCCATGGATCAGGCTTGCAGGTTCTTGTTGGCGCTCGTTTTCCAGGAACTCAGGGCTATGATTGGACAAGAGGCCAGACTTCGCCAGGAAGATCAGCGCGATTCTTATCAGGCCTGGATGCGTTTTCAACGTGGGGCGTTCAAGCCAGGGGCGCCGATCGCACGCCGTGTTTCCAAGATGCGACCGATGGGCCAGATCGTTCCCTTCACCCGGCGGCCAGGCGGGGCGCAACCGCAGGCTCTAGCGAATCAGGACATGCAGACGTGGAGGGAGGTCTGGACCAAGCGCGGTTGCTTGCCGCTGGATCCGCCAGCTGATGCAGACAGCTGGCCGCCCTTGCCTGGCATCGATGTTGCAGCCGGCAGGAAGGTGATTCTCACATGTCCGAAGAAGACCTCCGCGGGCCCATGTGTGCTCCATCCGCGCCTGTTGTGGCACCTGTCAGATGAGGCTCTAGAGGTGTTGCTAGTTTTTTAGACGACGCGACGAGTTGCTAACATGGCCTGCAGAGATGTTCTGGTCGATGATGTGACGCATTCCGAAGGCTGATGAAGGTCATCGCTTGATTGCAGTAGTGCACACATTCCAGCGCATATGGGGTCGAGCCAGGCGAGAAATATCCCGATCTTGGGAGGGGCGGAATCGCTGCGAGAATGTCTGGGGCAATCGGGCCCGCTACACGTCCTCCGACAGTGCCTTCAGCCACACCTTGGAGTCGGAGATTGCGGTTTTGCGAGGACACTTCAGCGATACAGTATTGTTGGATCTCACCAAGGCTTTCGACCTGGCACGGCCATCGCAGTTGTTTCGTGAAGGCCTCGTGCTGGGCTACCCACCTCGGTTGTTGCTCATGTCAATCCAGATGTACCGCCAGCCTAGACGACCCAACGGCCATGGCACTTTCTCTGATCCGTTGCGGGCGGAACAGGGAATACTTGCGGGCTGCGCACGCGCGGTTTGCATGCTGGAGGTGCTGACACTGCGAGCCCTGCTTCGGGTGCGTGAGGTACATGGAGCTTTGGTGCCTCGTGCTCTGGTTGATGATGTCTCTGTGCAGTATGTTGGCCCTGACCCTACAGGTGTGCGTGCACTTGACGTTGCAGTTCGTGCATGTCAAGACGACTCGAGAGTGCTCGGCTCCTGCTTCAACGACAGGAAGTCAGGGGCGGTCGCGGCCACACCCTCGCCGCGCA